TCCTTCCCTTTACCCCAAATCCTTCCCTTTACCCCAAATCCTTCCCTTCACCCCAAATCCCTCCCTTCACCCCAAACCCTTCCCTTCACCCCAAATCCTCCCCTTCACCCCAAATCCTCCCCTTATCCCGATTTTTCCCGTTTCCCAGCGAGCCGGGCTGGCGCGGGGTGTCGGGGGCGGCTCCGACCCCACAGCAGCTGCAGGAGGCGCTGGGGGAGCGCGACCTCTACATGTGAGAGAAACCCCAAAAGGGTTCGGGGAGGGTTTGGGGTTTTGGGGGGGGATTTGGGGGGGATTTGGGGTGGGATTTTGGGGGGATTTGGGGCTGATTTGGGGTCGGGATTTGAGGGATTTTGGGGGGGATTTGGGGCTGATTTAGGGTCAGGATTTTGGGGGGATTTGGGGTTGGATTTGGGGTCGGGTTTTGGGGGGATTTGGGGTCGGGATTTTGGGGTGGGATTTTGGGGGGATTTGAAGCTGATTTTGGGGGGATTTGGGGTTGGATTTTGAGGGGATTTGGGGCTGATTTGGGGTGGGATTTTGGAGGGATTTGGGGTTGGATTTGGGGTCGGATTTTGAGGGGATTTGGGGTCGGATTTGGGGTGGAATTTTGGGGGGATTTGGTGCGGGATTTGGGGGGGATTTGGGGTGGGATTTTGGGGGAATTTGAGGCTGATTTGGGGTTGGGTTTTGGGGGGATTTGGGGCTGATTTGGGGTTGGATTTTGGGGGAATTTGAGGCTGATTTGGGATCAGGTTTGGGATCAGGTTTGGGATCAGGTTTGGGATCAGGTTTAGGATCAGGTTCAGGATCACATTTAGGATCAGGTTCAGGATCACATTTAGGACCAGGTTTAGGATCAGATTTCACCCCACAGCTACGCCGGGCACGGTGCGGGCACGCGGCTCCTGGACGGGCAGAGCCTGGCGCGGCTGGTTTGGGGTCAGGTTTAGGATCAGGTTTAGGATCAGATTCAGGATTAGATTTAGGACCAGGTTCAGGATCAGATTTCACCCCACAGCTACGCCGGGCACGGTGCCGGTGCACGTCTCCTGGACGGGCAGAGCCTGGCGCGGCTGGTTTGGGATGAGGTTTAGGATCAGGTTTAGGACCAGGTTCAGGATCACATTTAGGACCAGGTTTAGGATCAGATTTCACCCCACAGCTACGCCGGGCACGGTGCGGGCGCGCGGCTCCTGGACGGGCAGAGCCTGGCGCGGCTGGTTTGGGATGAGGTTTAGGATCAGGTTTGGGATCAGGTTTAGGACCAGGTTCAGGATCACATTTAGGATCAGGTTCAGGATCACATTTAGGATCAGGTTCAGGATCACATTTAGGATCAGGTTTAGGATGAGATTTCACCCCACAGCTACGCCGGGCACGGTGCGGGCGCGCGGCTCCTGGACGGGCAGAGCCTGGCGCGGCTGGTTTGGGGTCAGGTTTAGGATCAGGTTTAGGATCAGGTTCAGGATCACATTTAGGATCAGGTTTAGGATCAGATTTCACCCCACAGCTACGCCGGGCACGGTGCGGGCGCGCGGCTCCTGGACGGGCAGAGCCTGGCGCGGCTGGTTTGGGGTCAGGTTTAGGATCAGGTTTAGGACCAGGTTCAGGATCACATTTAGGTTCAGGTTTAGGATCAGGTTCAGGATCAGGTTTAGGACCAGGTTCAGGATCACATTTAGGATCAGGTTCAGGATCACATTTAGGACCAGGTTCAGGATCACATTTAGGATCAGGTTTAGGATGAGATTTCACCCCACAGCTACGCCGGGCACGGTGCGGGCGCGCGGCTCCTGGACGGGCAGAGCCTGGCGCGGCTGCGCTGCCGGGCCGTGGCGCTGCTCTTCGGCTGCTCCAGCGCCGCGCTGACCCCGCGGGGGCAGCTGGAGCCCACCGGGACCGTCCTCAAATACGTCCTGGCCGGCTGGTGAGTGCCGGGAATCCGGGATTATCTGGGAATTATCTGGGAATTATCTGGGAATCCGGGAATTATCTGGGAATCCAGGATTATCTGGGAATCCGGGAATTATCTGGGAATCCGGGAATCCGGGAGCTGGGGGGCTCCGGGTGCCGAGTTCTGGGTGTCTGGGATTGCATGGGGGGCTCTGGGTGCTGAGATTTGGGGTGGGTTTGGGGTGGATTTGGGGTTTGGGGGCTGGGTGCTGGGATTTGGGGTGAATTTGGGGTGTTGGGGGGCTCTGGGTGCTGAGATTTGGGGTGGATTTGGGGATTGGGGGGCTCTGGGTGCTGAGATTTGGGGTGGATTTGGGGTGGATTTGGGGTTTGGGTGCTGAGCTTTAGGAGGATTTTGGGGTTTGGGGGCTCTCAGTGCTACGTTTTGGGGTGGCTTTGGGGTTTTGGGGGCTTTGGGGGGCTCTGGGTGCTGAGATTTGGGGTGGATTTGGGGCTTTGGGGGGCTCTGGGGGGCTCTGGGACTTTGGGGTCTCTTTTTTGGGGATCTCAAGGGATTTTCTTTTGGGGCTCACAGCCCCATTTTGGGATCTTTCTGTGTTTGGGAGGGGTCTCTGTATTGGGAAGGGTCTCTGTGTATTTGGGGAGGGGTCTCTGTGTATTTGGGGTCTCTCACCCCCCGTTTGCAGCCCCCTGGTGCTGGGGAACCTTTGGGATGTCACGGATCGGGACCTGGACCGTTTGGCGCAGGCTCTGCTGCGGGGCTGGCTGGGGGGGGGTCCCGGGACCCCCCTGCTGGCCCAGCTGGCCCAGGCCCGCCAAGCCCCCAGACTCAAATCCCTCATCGGGGCCGCCCCCGTGGCCTACGGGCTCCCGGTCAGCCTCTGCTGAGGGGGGGGCTGTGCTTCGGGGGGGCCCTTGGGCACTTTTGGGGTCCCCCCATTACCTGGAGTGAAGGTTTGGGGTCCCTTTGTCATTTTTGGGGTCCCCCCATTACCTGGAGTGAAGGTTTGGGGTCCCCTTTGTCCCCCCCATTGCCTGGAGTGAAGTTTTGGGGTCCCTTTGTCCCCCCCATTGCCTGGAGTGAAGTTTTGGGGTCCCCTTTGTCATTTTTGGGGTCCCCCCATTGCCTGGAGTGAAGTTTTGGGGTCCCCTGGTTGATTTTAGGGTCCCTCCATTGCCTGGAGTGAAGTTTTGGGGTCCCTTTGTCATTTTTGGGGTCCCCCCCATTGCCTGGAGTGAGGTTTTGGGGTCCCTGGTTGATTTTAGGGTCCCCCCACTGCCCACAGACTCCACTGGGGTACAGATTTGGGGTCCCCCCGTTGCCTGGAGTGAATTTTGGACCCCAGCTGTTTTTGGGGTCCCCCCATTACTTACAGGGGGGAATTGGGGGATCCCCCCCCATTGCCCGGGGGAGGTTTTGGGGTCTCCCCATCACTTTTGGGATCCACTTGTGGCCTTTGGGGTCCCTCCTTTGTTACTTTTGGGGTCCCCCCGTTACCTCTGGTGACGATTTTGGGGCTCCCCATCCCCTCAGGGATTTTTGGGGTGTCTGAAAGGGGGGGGAGGAGGGCTGGGACCACCGAAATTTTAACGAAATTTTAACGAAATTTTAACGAAATTTGGTTTTATTTGCCTATTTTGCAACAATAAAGCTGCTGCCCCTGCACTGACCCGTCCTGAGTCTCTCTGAGCCCCCCAAAATCCCTTTGGACCCCCCCAAAATCCCTCTGGACCCCCCAAATCCATTTGGATCCCCCCAAAATCCCTTTGGACCCCCCAAAATCCCTCTGGACCCCCCCAAAATCCCTCTGGACCCCCCCAAATCCCTCTGGATGCCCCCAAATCCCTTTGTATGCCCCAAATCCCTTTGGACCGCCCCAAATCCCTCTGGACCCCCCCAAATCCCTTTGGAACCCCCCAAAATCCCTCTGGACCCCCCTTTTCCTTCTGGGGGTCACAAACACCCCCCCCCCCCCCCGTCGCCCCACCCG